GAATCACATATATGAAGAAGACATATCAGGTTTCTATGCGGGGGGGCCCTATAGTTTAAAAAGATCAGTGCTGTATTGGAAATAGTATAAACCAATACTACTGTTGATACTTTAATTAGAAGGCTTTTCTCAAACTTCTAAGTTTGAGCTCACTTGTAATCAGTTATACAAGCAGTGGAATAATGTAGAAGAAAACATCAATCATACTACACCTAAAGCTATAATGTAGTTAAATTTGTTCAAATATCAAAAGAAAGTTAAGATTATAATTAACCTTGCAATAATGTGGACAAAGCTAAAATAAGGCTAAAAAGGGTGTAGTAAAGGAGGTGCATTACGGTACTTAAAAGAAGACTGAACTATCCCTTCACTAATTCATTAACACTTCACTTTCTAATTTTCAAACACACTTTTCTCCCAAAATAAAAGAGGGCTTAATCTGAGGATCTTTGTAACAGAATTTCACCCACAAAGAGTTTCTAATGCATTATTTTCATTCTTAATGAAGGAGGATTGCTGTTACTCTTGAGTTTTTGTTTTCTTTTTTACTTTGACCAAAATTCTGAAAATGTGATGAAGTAAGACTTGAGGTTCATGTGTGTTGGGTCTCTGGCACAGATGACACATGTGTTTAATAAGTGTAGTTTCTACTAAGGGCTAGATAGTCCCCACTTCTATTTTCATACTAAAAATAGTTTAGCTGTAAGCAAATACTTGCTGGTAACTTGATTCGTGATGTAGCCAATCATTCCAATAAACCTCTTGCAAATCTATTACAGATTCCACCGAACCTCTAGAACCTCAGGAGAAACTGCTCTTCTCCCTCCTCCCTTTCTCTTCCTTCTTAGCTAATTCACTCTTAAACAGCAGCACTACAACTTGGGAAAGCTGCAGTATAAATGCAGTATCAGCTCCTATAGATGTCCCATGTTCTTTTGAAATGATAATTTCCTTCAAAAAAAAAAAGAGCTAACTGAAGCAAAGCAAAATCAAAAACAGTTTGCAGAGAAGGTATAGGTAAGAATCAAACTAATTTGAAATTTTTATTAGTCTTGTAGGGGAAAGGAAGGAAGTCCAGACCCATATTTCAAGAGCTCTGCAAACTAGTAGAGTGCCCTCAGCAGCTGCTTCTACCAAGGCTGGTTAGGAAATCAGGTAGGACTAGTCCTTTGAAAGGAAAAGCAAGTCAATGTTCACCCCCACCTTCCCGAGGTTGCACACTCAAGTCATTGTTCCGTATACTGTGGGCCTGGCACATGTTCCCGGTCGCAGGTCAGAGGTCAACCTCCAGGGTGTTTCCAAAGCCGGCCACTTCAAGAGCTTGAGCCTTCAACACTTATCCAAACTGATTAACTACATGATCAACAGTAGCCAAGGAAATGAAGCGGACTTCACCTTTCTCGCTACTGGGAAGGAAAGGCCAGACCCCAAAGGAGGTCTGGGTTGAAAGAGTGTATGCATTGGGGGGAGGGGTGTCATTGTTTTAGTTCTCTTAAAGGCTCAGCGCTCCCTTAAGGAAAACGCCTTAAGTGGAAGATTCGGTTATGAAAGGCGCTAGACCTTTCCCCGCAGATCGGGTTAAGTCCCTCTTCCCTGTGCAGGAGAACGGGAGAAGCCGGTGCCAAGTCTCCCAAGGGCAAGCCTGGATTGACCAATTCAATGTCAGTCTCTTGTTGATTTCCTAAGCCCTTCCAGCCCGAGACAAAACTGAGAGATGCTGACCGATATCAGAAAACCCCACATTTCCGTAAAGAGCACAAGGAGGCATTTCCGAGCGTTAGGAACCGGCTTTTCAGTGCCACCGCCGCTCTACCGCAACCGGCCGGTTTTATTGTCTGCTGTAAGAGGCGTCTTTGGAGATCAGCACCAGACGCGCCAGCTCCCGCGGCAAGGCAGCGTGAGAAAAGCCTCGCTCAAAAAGTCCTGATCATCTGGCCCATGGGAAAAGAATATCATTCCAATCCCCCCCCCGCTCAGTCCCCCCCCCGCCTTCGGCTGTAGGGATATGGGTAGCTTACCTGCAAAACAGTCTCCAGTAAAGGAACTGGTATTAAACCCATAACCCACGTGCCCGAGAATGGTCAAGACTCCAGGGTGCATCTCTCTCTGTGTCGGTGTGTCAGTGTGTGTGTGTGAGACAGGGAGAGGAAGAGAAGCTTCCTAAACACAGGTGTTGTCCAAGCAGACCCTTTGAAAAGTGAAAAGTGCCCCCCCCAGCTTGATCTGACAGAAGCTGATTGGAATCCGTGCTTCCCAATTTCCCCCATCTCCCCTTCTTCCCCTTCTTCCATCTTAATCACTTACCCCACTCCACCTGTTGAAAGCGGGATCCCTTCATTTCTGTCTACCAAGCACAGACTGACAACATATAAGAGAATGTAATAATAATAGAGCGGAAAAACAGGGAGATGGAGTAGAGGCTGGGCGGGGGGGGGGAGAGAGAGAATTAGGTCGGTGGGCAGCGGGTGGGTCAAACCAGAAGTCCTCTTGGGTGCTTCACCGGAAAGTTCACCCTTCGTTTCTTCATTTCTTGCTTTCTGGAAATAGTTAGGAAATGCATGATGAAATAGAAATAAAACGGTATTTTAATGGCTTATATGTCACGTTGGTGCATGTGGCTTTGAACTGGAGCAATTCTCGTTTCCTGCAGAGAACATGCCACAAATCCCACTTTTGATCACTTCTACGACCTACAATGCTTGCACACACACAGCGCGCACATGCACACAGCCACAAATGGAGTTTCTAGCTCAGCCGCTTCCCCCCCCCCAAACCCCGGAGAAATAAACAAATGAAGAAACAAAGCAACCAGGCTGTCATTTTTAGGCCGCATTCTTCCATGCAGGTGAAGTCTTGGGGTGGGTTTTAAGTGGCTGCCCTGCATGCTGAAGACTCAGTTCTCCTGCTTTCTCTCCTGCTAGCTGCAAAGGTGCGCAGGTTTCTGCGGAGGACAAAATATCCTCCAGATTCTCCTCTTGTTGATGGCCTTGGAATTAACCAAGCTAAATACAGTAGTAACCTTTCACCTTTCAGGCCAGATCTAATACTTGCAGGGTGAGAAGCATTTCTTACCGAGATGTGATACTTCAAACCTGTTGCTTAAGATGCTGGAGTCTTGCTTTATGGGTTTGTTTTGCAAGGCTACTTTCACCCAAACACCAGCGCTTAGAAGGGAGAGAAAACCTAGGAATCCTATAGACCAGACAGCTCTGAAAATCTTCCCTTCCCTTGTATTGAATCTGCAAGAATATCTGCAGCATTCATTTGCACTACATATCTCAGCAAAAGGTTTCTTAAAAGAAGAAGAAGAAGAAGAAGAAGAAGAAGAAGAAGAAGAAGAAGAAGAAGAAGAAGAAGAAGAAGAAGAAGAAGAAGAAGAAGAAGAAGAAGAAGAAGAAGAAGAAACAAAGAAATCTGTTTGCCATGTGGTCCCCCTGCCCTTCTTAAAACATTGAATATTGTATCACACACCTAGAACTGCCAGGGGAATTGCTTCATCGCGCCTACCAGGCAATTGGAAAGATGCATTTTTATGGGAAAGCTCCCATTGGTTCAACAAACTCCCCCCAAAGATTCTTTTAGCTGGTTTTTATCCCCCCCCTTTCTAAATGTCTGGATATTGAGGAAAAAATGGTCCGAATTAAAAACAAAAGAGGTTCTCAACTAATGCCTTTCTTTCTTTCTTTCTTTCTTTCTTTCTTTCTTTCTTTCTTTCTTTCTTTCTTTCTTCTTTCTTTCTTTCTTTCTTTCTTTCCTTTTAAAAGTACATTTTGGAGAACTGCAAGGAGGAAGGTCTAGAAGTTGCATTCTTAAATGACTGAGCCACAAAGATAGTTTTTAAGAACCATACTTCTCCACCTCGACAATCATTTTAATATATAGTCAATGCCTCTTTGTAACGGGAACAAAGGCGAACTATCCGCAGTTCTTCAATAGACTTTAGTTGGGGGAAAGGCAGGTTAATCGAGGGGTTGCATCTAGAAAACAAGCAAGTGTTGTATGTTTGCACTGAATCCAAATGTCTGCATTTTCCTAACTAAATCAAAGGGAGTGTTATTTCTTTTTCTGCTCACTCATCTGAAGGTAAGTAAATTTTCTCTGGCGATCACAAGCTTGGTCAGCAACAAAGGCGCCGCCTGCTTTTTCCACCGTCCTGGAGTGGCAAGTTGAGGAATTTCAATAAATGTGACAAGGGTGACTGATTTGTGAACTAGAAACGGTTGAGCGTCAGAAAATTTATACTGCTCCTATCTAGAGGGGATTTCAAATGCATTATAAAACCCCAGGATCCAAGAACTTCATGCAGCATAGAAGAGACAAAAGCAACTTTGGGAAAATTCACATTTTTTTTAAAAAAAATCTTGAATTAAAGAGTTGAGTTTTTTAAAAAAAAAATAGAAAGGGGAGGGGAAAAACATACGAAGTAAGTATGAAAAAAAGAGGCAACACAACCGCTACATAAAAAAGCCAAGGCAAAAACAAAAGAAAATTGAAGTGCTCTCACCCACCTGCCTTTTGATGGGTGCTACACATGGTTTTCTGGGGAAAAAAAAATCGACCGCCTTATTGCCATTTTCCCACTGATATTAGACTTGTTATTTTAAAACAAGATCTAAACAAGTCAGCACAAACTTTGGGGAGAGCCTTAGAGGTTAAAAAAAAAGAAAGAAGAAAAAGTAAGCGCAAGTGGGAAAGGGGCAAATGACAAAAGGATTTCCACGGTCAAGCCCCTTAAAAAGTTGTTGAGTGTTGTTCAAAGGTCTTCAGCACCAACCCATGAGCACCTTCCCAAGAAAAAAGCAAAACGTAGCACAGGAGGATATCTACCTTTCCAGAACAAAACTGGAGAAAAGCTTTGGAAATAGGTTCCAGCATAAAATTAATATGTTTTATATATTTTTGGTATAAAAAGTTGCTACTCCTGTACGAGCAGTTTGTCAAACGCGATGTCACTCGGCTTCACAATACCTGGGATTGATGAGAGGGGAGAACCAATCAGGACAGAGCAGAGGTTTTGTGCACCCTTAATTGGAGAGGAAGGAGGGAGTTGTAAGTGAAAGTAGGAATAGCGAGGCACCAATGGTCTGCGACGTCGGCCTCCACGTAGCTCCTCCCCTTCTCCCATTCATGGGGGAGGGGGGAACAGTGTCGTCTTTTCAATTCATTTATCTGCAGGAATGATTGCCGCTATCAGTCTCGCGTTCACCGCCCGGCTGAGGAGGTGAAAGTTTCTCCCCAGGAAGACAAACCGCAAAAGACAATATTGTGCATGATTTGCGCCGTTTTTTTTTTTTAAACAAAGCAGGGGGAAAAAGGAAAGTGAAGGGGGGAAAAAGCCAAAGGAGAGGAAAAAAGAGACGAGGGGAGGGGGGAGAGTGAAAGAACTGGAAGAGAAGAGAAAATTGTTCGCTACTTCTCTACATTCCTCTAGCTTCTGTTTTTTTTTTTTTTTTTAAAAAAATCCAGAAAGGAAAGAACTAAGGAAGTTTCATTTTTGTTTTGACTTTTTTTCCCCCTCGCTTCCTCGTCTCTTTCGGCTATTGTTACTTGAGAGCGGGGGTCTCCTGAAGTCTCTCCCTCCTCCCCGCGAAGACCCCGAAAAGTGCAGTCCGAGAGGCAGGAGGGGGGGGGGAGGCGCAATCGGTTTCGCCTGTGCGCGCGCCGAGGTCTTTTTTTTTTTTTTGTACTCTTCTTCTTTTATTTTCGCAGCTTCTCGGCTGCTTCCTCGGCGCTTCCCCCCAGCCTTCTCCCCCCCCCCTCGCACCCGACCCTTTCGCCCACCCTCTCCTTTTTCTCTCTCTGCGTGTGTGTTTTTGGTGCGCGGGTGCCGAAGGGGGAGTTCCTGATGCGGTCGCTTTAGTGGCTGATCGTCGCGCGGACTTTGGCAAGAGAAAGGCTCGGCGAAGCTGGTTGGATTGGCGGCGGCGGCAACGGTAGCTCCGGCAGCGGCAGCGGCGGCGGCGGCGGCGGCGGCTCTTCCTTCCCGTTTTTCCTGCCGTTTGTCGGCGGCTGCTTCCTTCTTTTCTCTCCCCCCCCCCTCCCGCCCTCGCGGCCCCCGATAAATCACTTTTGTTCGGCGGTTGCTGCCGCAGCTGCCCGCCAAGCGGGACAAAATGCTCCTGGACGCGGGACCTCAGTACCCAGCCATCGGCGTGACGACCTTCGGCTCCTCTCGCCACCACTCCGCGGGCGATGTGACGGAGCGCGAGGTGGGACTGGGCATCAACCCCTTCGCCGACGCCGGCATGGGCGCCTTCAAGCTCAACCCCAGCAGCCACGAGCTGGCCTCGGCCGGCCAGACCGCCTTCACTTCGCAGGCCCCGGGCTACGCGGCGGCGGCGGCGCTGGGACACCACCACCACCACCCGGGCCACGTCGGCTCCTACTCCAGCGCGGCCGCCTTCAATTCCACGCGGGACTTTCTTTTTCGCAACCGGGGCTTCGGGGAGGCGGCGGCCAGCGCGCAACACAGCCTCTTCGCCTCGGCGGCCGGCAGCTTCGGCGGGCCCCACGGGCATGGCGAGGCGGCGGGCCATCTCCTCTTCCCGGGCCTCCACGAGCAAGCCACGAGCCACGCGTCGCCCAACGTGGTCAACGGGCAGATGCGCCTCGGCTTCTCCGGAGACATGTACGGCCGACCGGAGCAGTACGGGCAGGTGACCAGCCCGCGCTCCGAGCATTACGCGTCCCCCCAGCTGCACGGCTACGGCCACATGAATATGAACATGGCAGCCCATCACGGAGCGGGGGCCTTCTTTCGCTACATGAGGCAGCCCATCAAGCAAGAGCTCATCTGCAAGTGGATCGAGCCCGAGCAGTTGGCTAACCCTAAAAAGTCCTGCAACAAAACTTTCAGCACCATGCACGAGCTGGTGACTCACGTCACCGTGGAGCACGTTGGCGGGCCCGAGCAGTCCAACCACATCTGCTTCTGGGAAGAGTGTCCCAGGGAAGGGAAGCCTTTCAAGGCCAAATACAAACTGGTCAACCACATCCGCGTCCACACGGGGGAGAAGCCTTTCCCTTGCCCTTTCCCGGGATGCGGCAAAGTCTTCGCTCGGTCGGAAAATCTCAAAATCCACAAAAGGACGCACACAGGTATGTCTCCAGAGTAACCAAAAAAAAAAAAAAGAGAGCGAGCGAGAGAGAGAGCGAGAGGCCAAGCTTCACTTTGCCTTGGCGAGTTCCAAGAGGGCCGGTTCGCAACAGTGTCTTTTCGGGAAGGGAAGAGGCCTCGCGAGTTAAGGAGGCCGTGGCCAGAACGATCCTAGCCGAAGAAGGCGATTGAATTTCGGGTTGAAGTTCAGCTAAGCGAACAAGAGACAAACAGTATTTTTCTCTAGAGTTTTTAATTTTTGATTATTTTTTTTAAAAAAATATTTTCAAATAAGGAAATTCAGAAACGGAGGCTCTGACAGCTGGAGATGGAAGGGGGGTGGGAGTAGGAGTTGAAGGGAAAATGGCAGCGATCTGAATTTATTGGTTTTAATTAATTGGTGTGACAGCATTGCTTTGAGAAATCGGGCTAAATATATAGTTTGTTCATCCCAATTTTTCTTGCTATCATTTTTATTTCTTTGTAAATATTTAATTAGGTGAGCCAATTGTAAGTAATATGAGCTAGGTAGGCTTATGTGTTATTACATGCTAGCCTTGGAAAAGGTTTATTGTAATATATCGTAAATGAACAGCACCTTAAAAACGGTCCTTCCTTCCTTCCTTCCTTCCTTCCTTCCTTCCTTCCTTCCTTCCTTCCTTCCTTCCTTCCTTCCTTCCTTCCATCATACAAGTGTATACAAGAATTGGAAGCTGGCACTATTATCACTTGGAAGTTTAATCAAAGCAATGCATAGGAAGTGAGATAACTGTAAAGTTCTACCAGATTATGCGTAGACATGGGCTGAATAAGGAAAAGGGAAAGTAAACTAAGGCGAGGAGTACCTTTAACAGTGGCAGCGAATTTTCCCTTGCCAGAGACTGCCAGTTTTGCTACAGCAGGTTCACGTCTGGTGAAATCCTGGGGTCTGTTCTAGAAGTGGAAGAAAAGAAATTCAGTAAACATTTCATTTAATTCTCTCGTTTCTCTCTCCCGATATTTCTTGGAGTCGGAATGATCTGGTGTTTGTGTATTATATTATATTATATAAAAATTAGCGCGCATAAACTCCCAGATTTGTAATGCGAAGGTCCTTGTTTATTTTTTCAATAGGTGAAAAACCCTTTAAGTGTGAATTCGAGGGCTGTGACAGGCGCTTCGCCAACAGTAGCGATCGTAAAAAGCACATGCATGTCCACACGTCAGATAAACCTTATCTCTGCAAAATGTGCGATAAATCCTACACGCATCCCAGCTCCCTACGAAAGCACATGAAGGTAAAATGGTCGCTTCAGCTTTTTCCATGCTTCTGAGTCACTCCTTGCTGGGATCTCCGCTCTCTGTCGTTCGCCTCCCCTGTCCCATCACCGACTTTGATTATAACTCACCGCTACGTGCTTTTCGGAAGGGGGGGGGGAGAAGAAAAGAGTGGAGAGTCTCGAGGTTATTTCTTAGCCAAGGGTGCTTAGATCTACAGTGAGTTTGTCCCCAAGGATAGGGCCACTCCTAACAGGATAGATAAAGGGAAAACTCCTAGCAGCTCCCAGGTTCAAAACAACTAACAGCTCCAGGTTTTTGCCCTGAGAAAAAGGGGTCCCGCTCCAGACTCATCTAGGGTTAGGCGCTGTTTCGTGGGGGGGCGGGGGCGGGGGAGGATTTAAAGCAAGATCTAGATGGTGGTGCTTTGAGGGAACCTAGGTGGGCATGGAAACCTCCCGCTTTCTTGTTTAGGCTTGCGTTAAGAGCGCAATCTTTTTATGTGTGATCCAGGCCCATATTTTTCTTACACAGAGGGCCATCTTGTGAAATTGACAGAAGGTAGGCTAGCTGGCAGAGACTTCAGAACTCCGCGTTTCTCTGTGATCAGCCAGCATCCCGATTTGCAAAGCAAGATTTCAAACTTCTCGCGTTTCTCTCCTCCCCTCCCCCACTTCTCTGGCATATAGAGTTCAATCAAGTGAATTCAGCCCAGGGGCTTAGCATTTGCGGCAACTAGGCGAGATAGTGCACAGGCACATTGGTGTGTCAGTTAGGCACCCCCAACTATTTAACTCTGCAGTGTTCATTTTGTGTATGTGTGTATATGCATTTATGTTGTGTGTGTGTGTTCATATATATGCATATATATATATATATATATTCATGTATGCATATGTATGTATGTATATACATATGTATATATGTATGTGCATATTTAAGCGATGTGTGTGTATGCGTGTATGTGTGTATACACACACACACACACAGAGTATATAAATGAACATGCATACATATATCCCCCCCCCCGCGTCAACTTCTTCTCTTTGTTATCTCTTTCTCTATTTTCTAGGTCCACGAATCCTCTTCCCAGGGATCCCAACCTTCCCCCGCTGCCAGCTCGGGCTATGAATCTTCAACTCCCCCAACCATCGTCTCTCCATCCACAGAAAACCAGACCACGAGTTCCTTATCCCCCTCATCTTCAGCGGTCCATCACACGTCCAGCCACAGTACGCTCACGTCAAATTTTAACGAATGGTACGTTTAAACAAACAAACGAACAGGGGCAAAAAAGCGACCTATTTAAAAGACTCAAAAAAAAAAAAAAAATAACGAACACTTTGAAATCGATGAATCTTTTTTGGGGTGTGTGTGTTTTGTTTGTTTTTTTATATAAATAAATAAATAAATCTATCAATCTATCTAAATGCTGCCATAGACCCAGGAGTGAACCAAATCAAGAATTCTCTCTCTCTCTCCCTCTCCCCCCCTCTCCCCTCCCCCCCGTCTGGTTTCCCCTCCCTCTCTGGTCCCTTTTCTGCTGTTTTGTTTTGGTTGGGGGGGGGGAGCAAAGGCTAGGAGAGCAAAACCCAAAGGGTTCTGTTGGGAATGAGAGAATGGCCGGCTTGTGGTGCCATCTTGTCCGTGTGCAGGGCTTTTTAAGTGGGAACCACTGACTGGATCTCTCACAACTGCATGTTTCTCTGGACAGCAGCCTCCCTGTTTTCTGTAAATACAGAAATACTAGCTTACAATGTACTGTTTGATTTTGTAAATAGTTCTACCACGTTGAAATAAGGGGATATGGTGAAACGGTGGTCTTTGCATATACTGGGGGTGGGGTGGGAGGGGGAGAGGGAGGAGGCGGAAAAAAAAGGGGGGGGAAAGGGGGTGGTAGAAGATCAACTATTTGTACTGAATGGCAAGGATGTTCTAGTAAATGTGTACCAAAATGTGAATTACTTTGTATTATTACAGTCTAAACGTCAACCTAACAGAATATTATTGATGTGCTTTTTCTTTTGTATAAAGTGCAAGCATTTCGTTCCAAAGTCCAGTCTAAGTAGTGCAGTAAAATGTTGTTACATGTCCTGTCAAAATAATTCGTATAGTGCAAGCCTGGATCTGCGTGTCAAACTGTTACATTTGTGTATGTAAAGTGATATTAAAAAAAAGAAGAAAGAAAGGAAAAAAAAAGCTATAAGCTATTTGCTTTTGACAAATACAACCACATATTGTATATATTTCCCGAATTCCATATTTATCCGCATGTAAAGGTCTGGTTATACATGTTACAGATATTCAATATTTATGGCTAGAAGAATTGGTATGTACAATTTAGTTTACAGAACTGTTTGGTAACATTTCGTACATTATTAAAGATTCTGAAATCCTGTAATTTGTGGTAGGCATCCTTATTGCTTTGGTTGGGGTGCTGCAACTTAGATTTTTAGGCAGTTAACTTTTTAGGCAGTCACCCCTCTCCCCTCCTCCTGGTCTTCACTTTTCTTCCATGGTGTCGTCAGGAAAGCAGCAACGTGATAAATGCACGTATAGTTTCCCCACTGGCACCAGAGCAGTGTTTAATTAGTATTAGATTAAAACCTATAGATCAAAAGTTTTCATTTGCAATATAATTTAACTAGCCATCATAAGCATAGAATAATATTATTATTTATTGAATTTGGCCTATTGAGATTAACAGAAGGAAATTTCATCTGGAGAAAAGAAGAAAGAAAGAACATGCCCAGAATGTATGCTTGACCAGGGAATTACTACTGCAGTCAGTAAGGATTGAAATAATTTATATGAGGATTAAAACAAAACAAAACATGAGAGGCTTTGGCTACACTTTATTTAAAATAATTAAAGATGGCCACAAGTGACATCTTGTTCTTCCTTTGTAATGATTTCTCCGCCCCTCCCCCCATTTCCAAACCCTCAGACTACACCATCGTTTTGGAACCACCCAAATATAAAGCTTTTCTCTCCCTTCCCTCTATCATGATGCCAACCTTAAAAGCTTCCTACAGAAATGATAGCAAAAATAAACTGACCTAAGGAAGGCTGGTTGGAGTTAATGTACTTTATCTCTTTTGTTTTTTCTCCCCATTTAGTTAAGAAATCTGTTCTACTGGCTGGCAGTAATGCAGTAAAAAAATTATATCTGTGTGAATCAATATTAGTCGTGCATAATGACTGTGGCACAATTTTTTTTTTGTAAAAAAAGATCAGATTGCTTCTCTTTGCAATTTAGTTTGATAGATTTGCAAGCTTAACTTAGTGACGCTTGTAGAAATTGCTAGGCTTTGTTCCTGGATGTAGCTTGCATGATCGCCCCATTAAGCAGACAACATTTCAACAAGACAACACAGATCACAAGCTTGGCTAAAACTCTCTGTGTATCCGCTATCATGTCACAGAGTGAATTACATCTGGTGACCTCTTCATAGTTCAAGGAGGTATGTATGCATGTGTGTGTGTGTGTGTGTGTGTGTGTGTATGCATGTGAGCATGTGATAGGTGTTTTTAAGTTCAATCAATCAATTCTAACTTCTAGAGTGAGAAAGATTTGAGATGGCAAACATCTTGGTATGGATTCATTCATTGTTTCCAGTGCTTAATGCTTTTATCGGTTAACTATTTGCAATACAGTGCTGTAATGGGGTATTCATTGTGTTTGTTTAAAAATAAATGTTATTAGGGGAAGGAGATGCTGTGTTTACTCTTGCTTGAATGTTTAAAGCTGCAATCCTATATACGGTATCCTGGAAATAGTTCTAAATGCAGTAAGGTTTGCTTTTGAACAGAAATGGGCTTGTATTCTTCATTCAGCCAAGATAGGCCTGCACAGAAGAAATAAAGTGCAGAGAGGACAAAATGTGTATGTTTATGCCCATGCACACAAACACACCCTTGCCGTTTTTTCAATAGCAAAGATCAGAAAGCAAGCAGGCCAAGTTGGTTCCCTTGTCTGTCTGTCTGTCTGTCTTTAAGTATGCTTTCTAAAAAATGCTACTCTGGCCATAAACTCATTTAGTCTTTCAACGTGAAGAGCGCCACCTTATAGATCTACAGTAACTGAATAAAGTTCCTTCCAGAGAGCAGAGAAAGCAGAGAACCTACCAATAGAGGCAAAAACACAGAGAACAGCTCCCGAAAGACACATTGGGAATCAACTGAGCTCTAAAGAAATGCAATCTTCTGACAAAAATTAGCATTTTAGCCTTTTAATTTTGTTTTAAATGTAGTAGCTTTGTGCTGGGGATGGCGCTCTTTTCTTTTCTTTTTAAAGGGAAATAATTCTGAGTCAGTGGGTATAGCAATCTCCTCCCTACTCCCACTCTGAATACTCACCCAGATAGTTTTTTTTTAAAATATTGGTTGATTCATGCTTAGATAACATTTAAAAGAGGAATGCAACTTTTTTTTTTTTTGGGCTGTGCATTTCTCAGTCTTTTTCTTCCACGTTGTGTGGGTCCAGAAACAGTGGTTTTATCTGAATTTTATGAGTACTCATAGTGTACTTTAGCCAGTTGATTAGAACATGGTTTCCACTACATTCTGTTTAAGGTTTGTGTGGTTTTGTGTCTGCTTCTGTGTGTGTTTTAAATAATTTTTTATTAACTGGATAAGCAAGCTTCTCAAAATCAGCAGTTAGCCATTTTTCTCCTGCTATACAAGCAAAGACCTTGAGGGAGAAGGTACAGCATGTGTAAAACTATATAGCAGTTTTGTGTTTTTAGATCTGAGCAGGTTTTAAATTTATGCATGCAGGCATGCGTGTATATGTGCATGCATCTGTGTTTACACACAGAGAGGCACACACTTTGTTCTATAAAATAAGAAAACTGTTGTTCCTTATATGAATGCTTAATTAACCGTACCGTGATATAAGGAATCAGGACCTGGCTAAAATCATCATCATCATCTTCAACGACACCGTCATCTTTGTCTGCTTCTTCTTCCTCCTCCCCCCTCCCTTATTTTTAAAGACTCGGTATAAGGATGCTATCGAGAGTTTGCATTAAACGGCCATTTACACTTCTTGCACCGTCTGTCATTGCGCGGTTACTTTTAATGGCGTCGAGAGGTGCATTTTTCATACTTTTCTTCGTGGGCTGTTAGGTTTAGAAAGACGGGAAACGCTGGTTGAGAAATAGGCATTGCTGGCGTCTGTTCAGCGGGAGACTCAGACAATGCACAAGTGGGCTGGTGGAGCGCGCGGAGTCGCGCTTTTGGATTACGAAGGCCGTCGCCTTGCAGCTCAGATGCTGCTGCTGCTGCTTTGCTGTAGCCTTTCCACCTCTGCGAAGGGCAGGACGAGGTTATAAGCAAGGGGGAGTCTTCGACCACCACCCAGATTCCTGGCAAAGGGTCTGGATACAGCCGTAACTGCGTTAGTTTTCTGGGCGATCCCAAACAGGACACAAAGTTCCTTTAAAAAAAAAAAGGCTCGAGATCACCACTCAGAGTTTAGAAACCTTACTTAGCATCGGACCGTATTACTTTCGCAAATACCAGACCACAACAGCTGTGGGTCTTAAAAGTTTCAGAGACGAATTCGGTACCGAATTATATTTCCCGCAATGCTATCAAGCCTTTCTCTCCCCCCTTTTTAAATGGACTTTTGTGTATAGAAAACCAATTATATAACGTTAAAAATCAGCTAAAAACGGAGGAAACAGATAGAAAGCATTAATAGTAAATGTGATTTAAGAGTAGATCCCAAACTATCCTTTTAAGGTTTAGCTGTATTTAAAAAAAACTATTTAATGGCTAAAACATGCTGGAATATTGAAAATTGCAGATGTTGTCATATTGGGAGTAGCTAACTTTTTGCAGATTTCACAACAAGAAGTTTATTAAATTTTGTTTTGCCTTGGTGAATATTTACACCTGGATCTTAAATAAAGTGAAAAGTGACCTCCTGTTAGGATTTCAGTCGTGGATGGAAAATGAAATTGCATTTTGAATATTTTATGGCAATCTCACGGAATATTTGCTCTTTCCCCACACTGCATCTCAGCATATTTATTCTTGAATTTGGATATAAAAGCATTCCTGTCAGAGGCTTTTCTGACTTTTGATGTGAAAAAGAAAAAGAAAAGGTCACAGGGAATGGAAATGAAACATGAACCATCATTTTCAAAGAAATTACTAAACGAGGCAAATTAAGGAGTGATTTGTAGAACTGGTACAACAGTTGGTGCCTTTTAGAAGAAAGTAAAGCATCCATCTTTAATGCAAGTGACCATAACTTTTTCGTCACATCTTGTTCACCTAGATCGATGATGTACCTATTGATGTATCCATAGCATACAGGATTTGTTTGCACTTAGCCATGTGAATGGGTGTATGTATATACACGCATGAACCTCCCCCCATACCAGTGTTTTTACACATACTGGTAGATATAATCTGCATTGTAGATGTAAAAATAGAAGATCTGGAGGCAACTCTTTAATGGCAGCAAAGGAGAAGAAGGAAGACAAAGTAAGGAAGGAAGCTCTAGCATCTTCAAGAAGATGGGCACAGGAGAAGACAAGACAATGAAGCCACCAAACAAGATGGGATTAGGACTGGCTAGTAAAAGCAATGATGGTCAGTTATAGAGAAAGGATTTTGGGGGGAACAGGGTCACTGCTTTAAAGAAGGCAACCATCATAAAAAGTCATGATTTATTCAGGCAGATTTCTTACATTGCCTCACGCTCTTATTTTGTGTGTGTGCATGCGTGCACATAAACACATATGATTTTTTTTTGCAATACAGTGGGTACATTAAAAAAAAAATTAACCCACAGATAATACAAACATTTAATGAGTCAGGAGCACATTCGTGTTCATAAACTTACCATTAACACTCAGTTCTGTGGTTACCTATTTTTTTTCTAATAAAAACTTTTACATTTTTTCCTGTGTGTGTTTCATAGTGCATGATATTTTCCTTTCCCATTTTTGTTTCTCTTTCCAAATCTAACTGTCCATCCCAGACATTTGCCACAATGGGTGCTATTTAGTTTGCACCCATTTTTTAACCTAATATTGTGTACACTTGAATATACCAACATAAAATAAATTATCAGAATTGAGCCTTCTCTATTTATTGTTGAATGTGCCTATACATGTGTGTTTACATGTGCATGTATATATATAACTGCAATCCTTTGACATGATAAAGTCAGTGTTAAGTCTGTCCCTTTCCCTAGGTTCTGTAATTCAGATCTGCTGCATCTTTGCTTAATAAGAAACATGATCGTGTGAAACCAGAGGGCTATTTTTACCATGCAGCTGGAAGCTGTCATCAATTGGTAACATTTCAGTTTTAGAGTGCTAAAATAAAATAGCATGAAGTTTCCAGATGACCGCCCTATTGGAAAGGGGCTTTAAAATAATAGTAAATGAAGTTAATTGCAATATATGTGTATAAAAACACACGTTTTATGCAGAGATCTTGGGAGAATCAGCGAGGCCCAGATCTTTGTGTGTACGACAGTTCTCACTTGTGAAACGCGGCACCCAAGCCTGTTTGAAATACACAGAAATGGCAAGTTTGCTCAGCTTGGGTCCACAAAATTAAGCACTTGGAAGCCACCCTTGTATCAGCGCGAATCTGAAGCGTACGTTTGCCATGAATCTCTTCTAAAGAGATCTCTTCGATGTTATGGCCTGTAGTAAACAATTATATCAGTATATCGTAGGCAGAACAGTACTGCACACCCACCTTGAACGTTTACATTGAAATAACCTCTTTCTTCCATCGAATTTCTAGAAAGCCTTTTTATTTTTAGCGCAAGTCACTCCATTCCGTTGTTTCCCGGAGACGCGCGCGTGCGGGAAAGAGAGGGCTTGCTTTTCACGTGTGTTTGTGGAGCCGAAGGGGATGGCTACGGAAACAGAAATAAATTGCATGGAACGAAACGACAAGAAAAACTTTCTTTTTTCGCAAAGCCGTCTGCTGATTCCCCCCCCCCCCAGATTGGCTCCATCACAGATAAAGGAACCGAAAGGTAAACAAAGAAGCCTGGGAAGGCCAAGAGGCTTTCCTTTTCCCGCTAAGGAGCAATTCTTGGAAAACGAGATAAGACCGCATGTTCAGAAGCCTCGCTCTGCTTTTTTGGCCGCGCCGAGAATCTGCTGGAGCTCTCCAAAGGCAACCCGCGCAGCCAGGTCCCCCCGCTTTAAGTACGCGCACACGGTACCCGGGGCTAGAGTTCGAGCGCGCCGCGCATGCGCCTCTCCCACCCCTGGGCAGAGCTTCCACGTGCTGTTGAATATTTATAACTCAGCACTTCCTAAACTGTCTGGAGAAGGTAACCGCACAGAGCCTAAATCATCGCGAAACCGCTGGCGTGGCTCCCGAAACAGTTGGGGTGGGGGTGGGCGTGGGGGGGGGAGGAATATGCACGTGCTTGTTTCCCGATATCGGCGGTGGTTTAAGTGAGATCGTACGGCAAAAACGGCTTGGCAGAAGGTTCAGCAAACCTTGCTGGCTCATAGCAAACAACGCCAAGTGGCGGGGAGGCGGGGCGGGGAAGGGAAGAGGCTCCCTCCGATGACAGCAGCAGCAGCAGCAGCAGCGCGGTTCTCAAGCAGCTAGTTACGACGACGCTGGTGCGGGCTTCACATGTCCCCTCCCTTCGGTTAGCCAATGATTTCTAGTGCATGGGGAAGATCCATCCATCCAGGCCCGGAAGGGATCTCTCTTCGGGGGCTTCGCTTCTGGTTTGTCTGCCAGACTGCCTCCGGTTGATTCCACGCCTCTCTTCCCCCTCCCCCTCCCCCGACCCTGCTATAGTTGAAGGGGTCTTTCGCGCGCGGCCCTTCAGCGTTGCAAAGGTTTTGAGGTGGGCTCCGTCGAAAGGCTTTCGAAGGTCTGAGGGGGCAAACGCGCAAGAGAAATTAAGTGAGACGTTCCTGAACCTTAATGGTCTTGCCTCGACCTGCTCCCACGCAGGCGACCAGCTCCAGCCCCCTCTCCCCCCCCCCCCAGTGTCTCCCTACCAGGTTGTCTGGTCGTTTGAATGGCAAGGGGCACTTGGCAAACTAGAGCAGGCATCGAAGTGGAATTAGAGGGGAGCCAGAGATCTTGATGGAAGAGATTTTGGAAATCCTCAGAATAGGAATACTGACAACAGCAGCAGCAGCAACAACAACAGACGCCTTATGACGACAGAAAAAAAGAGTTACGTACTTCTGACAGGGTTAACGTGTGGTGTATGTACGTACGCCTGTAATGCAATCCTGTTTTCTCGTCTTTTGTTAGGGGCAGGAAATCGCCCCGCAGGTTACCCGTCGCGAACGCCTATGTTTAGCGGCCTGGCAACTCAGCCAAAGCCCTTGGATTTCAGCCCACGCAGACCCAGGAAAGTCATAAGAGGGCCCCGCCTGGGGCTAAATCTCAAGGCTGTTTTAGTTTCTCCTAGTTCTCGGTTGGGATGTAATGCGGGACGCGGGCGATGTCCCGCCAGCTAGGGCAGTGCAGCCTGGCTTTTTCGCCCTCCGAAAACATTTCAGTGGCCTCTTCCCAAACGTTCCCTCCAATGGCTCAGGAACTGCTCACCTTGCTGAGTAGTCCTTCGCCTTCAGCTCTGTGAATGGGGCCCTGGGACGAGACCCAAGCCTCTTTTACAAGGTGGATCTTTCTCCCTCCCCCTTTTTTCTCTCTTCCTTTATGACAAATAATCAGGCGCTACCTAGATTATTCCCCACCCCCTCAAATAAACAAAACAAACGCTCTCCTTTCTGACTCCATTGGCTTTCAGTTTGGCACCCTAGAAACTTCTCTTCCTGCCTCCTAAATGTAAAGAGGCGCCAAAGCGAGGTTTGTACGAGAACGGTTGATTATTGGATCTTAACTTAAGGACCACTTTCTCTTCTCTAAATACCGTGTTGAAGAAATAATAATAAAAAAATGGCTTGCACTTTTTTTTCTTTTTTCTTTTAAAGTGCAGCTCCTAACTAACAGATTGATTATAGCCCTACAATCTGGTGAGCGTATATAATATATTATTTAGCTGAGAAGGCGAAGGGAGATTGGTGACTTTTGAAAAGCGGAGTGAGACGCGAGCGCGCGCGCGCTTTCACACACCCCGTGGTCACGTGACCGGTCAGCCTCCGACAGATTTACTTTCGTTCAAAAGGTGGGCGAGGAAAACATCCGGCTCCACCATTGTTGAACCTCTTCCTTTCCGAGCTTGTTTACAATTCCTGCCTGCTCTAAATAACTGCTGCCAACCCGCCTCCTTTATTTGCACTTAACTAGACTGATGTTTACCGGCCGCTCCACTTTCCCAGGTGAATTTTTCACAAGGAAGCGATTTAGAGAGCTTTTCCTTGAGCAGAAAACATTAAAAAAAAAAAAAGCCTGGGCAACAGGTAGATCCACGCACCTACAAATGCGGGAAAGCCACCCCACATGCCCCTTGGGGAGGTTTGCAAACTCCCCCTTCCCCGTCGGTTGGCCATCCTATTTGAATAAGCATCTCTCTCTTTTTCTTAGGGAATAAATTAAAAGTAAAAACAAAAGAAAACAAAACAAAATCTACCCAGCCCGCCACAAAAACACACACACACACACGTATCGGAGAGTTTGGAAAGATTTTGTCTACAAAATGCTATTTATTGTCCGTCTTTCCTTCGCCTCACTTGCGCTCTACCTCTTCCCCCCCCCCCAGCATTAACCCTTTTGGCTAGCTGGAGGGAATGTGAAACTGAGATTTGGCCCTGAGTTTAATCTCCCCCGTCTCTCCCGCTCCCTCTCTGTCTATAGATCTGGCAAGGACTTGCTCTCTTAACTCTCAGATCATTGTTCCGGTGGCGGCGGCGGCCAGAAAGAGCAAGGCAGCGCTGTGCTCTCACTTCCTCCTAGCTTCTTTAAAAAAAAAAAAAAAGGGGGGGGGGCATTCCTCGTCCAACTTTTCCTTCAGTTATTCACTCCTCAAGCCCACTGGCAGTCTTTTGCCGAAAACCTACTACACTCCAGTTTTGGTAAGTGGGACGTCGGTCCATTGCAAAGATGGTGCTGCCGAGCTGGCTGCGTGCATGTACCTCGTAGAAGTGTGGGTGGTTTGTGTGTGTGTGTGCGTGTGTGTTGTGTGTGTGTGAATGTGGTTTGATGTCGAACAGAGCCTGCCCAACCCGTGTCGTTTCGCGTCCAGCAGCCCCGAGTTAAACTATGGTGGCGTCTGAAATCTCACTAGAAATCAGCGCTAGGGTTCTTTGCGGGCTCGGACGGACTTTCGGGACACGCAACCCTGAAGCCGGTTGGTGAAACCGCTGTTGCGATTGGGGCGGCTGTTACGTCTGCGTCGGGCGCTGTTTTGTCTTACCTTAATATTTGCTGTTTGCAAAGGCTCGTAATTATACAAAACAGGCAGCTGCCAGCCACGGGTGGCTCTGAGATCATTGGTTAGCATTGCGGAGTGATTTGAAATTTAATGTCAAAAGTTCCCTCCAAGACAACCCATAAGTTTAATAATTATTATGGCGGAAACAAACCCTTAAAACTTTTTACAAAGCATTTACAACACTGTGTGCACCTAGCATTTCCCAGCCTGAGGCACCCTTTTAACATTATGGTCATAAATGGTTTCCGAGCGCATAGGTGATTTTCAACTATAAGGCTGACTGAAATTTATAGGCATTTAAGGGTGAGTCTGCTTTGAATTTCACCTTGCCCCCCCCCCGCGCCCCTTCTAGGATGTATGGAGAAGTGAATCCAACTGCTGCGTAGAGTTGACCTTTGGCTGACACCCCTGGGTGGAAGACACTTTGCAAATGAGGGGTGGAAGAATGAGCTGAATTTCGGTGGTGCTCGGCCAGGTCCCATGACATTCGCCCGAGGCTGAGCTCCCCAGGTCTGGAAGTCCAGCAAAGTTCAAGGGAATCGGAGCAGCTTCTCGGGAATCTCCCTGATAGTCACGAGGGGGAGAACATTATTATTCCTCCGGACTACAGAGCGCGAACAGCAGCCGCGGCGCCTTCAAGTTCACGGCACTTCCCGTTCTTCGAAAGCTTTAGCTTTATTCTCACTGGGGGGAGGGAGGGGGGGAAATAGAGAGCAGTTACGGTAACAGCAGCCTACGGCGCGGTGGTTTTCGAAGCACGAAAACAAGCGCGTGAAAGCGGGTGCTAACAAACGGTGCGACTTTCTTCAGGGGAAAAGGTGACAACACGCGCATTCCTCGAAAACCTTTTCGAGCGTGGGTCTGAAACTGCAGCTCCCAGGGCTATACAAAGAGCTTGGCTAGGTGGGAACGTTAAGGTCGGAGGGAAGGTGTCGTTTCGCTTTCAAAGCAAATGCCAAAAAAACAACACCCCCCCCCCCCAAAAAAATCCCGGCTCCTTTCTCCTTCTGATTGGTTTGGGGCTGCTAAAACTTGACCGGTGTTTGTGAGATGGTTCTTATAAGTTTAACAAAGTCCTGGTACGCATGTCTGTTACGCAGGAGGGGTATTATGTAAAATATGAAGCTGTTGAAAGAGATGCAGCGGTACCAGACTTCCCACGGTCTGAAGGGTGAAGGCTGGACATCAGAAGGCTAGAATATGGCAGTGGGACCTCAGAGGACGCCTCCCCCCCAAGTCTTCGCGCACACCTGCCCCCTGCCCTGTTCAACCCTAGTAAATTAATGAAATCGGGCCAACACCGGCAAGTTCTACAATAGGTCAATCCTTGCGCGTTGCTTTCAATAGGAGCCCCCCTTCCCCCCCCTCCCAGCATTTTGGTCAAGTTTTTCTCTGGAGCCAGAACACGAGTTTCATCAAGTCTATGCTTTCCTGGCATTTAATTAGCAGTGCTCTTCCTCCCAGACTCACACCGGTGAGACTCGCGCCTTAAGCGATGTTGCACAAGGTTCAGGTCTTTTGGAATTGGGAAGGAAAGGCTCCTCTGTAGGTAAGAAAGGTGAAGGAAGGGGCGAACTACCTGCGAAGACCAGGCAGTTTGTGGGATGCCAAAAATCTATCCCCTTGACCAAATTCGGACTTTCCTCCTCCTCCTCCTCCTCCTCCTCCTCCTCCTCCTCCTCCTCCTCCTCCTCCTTCTTCTACACCTTCCTATTTGGAAAGAAATGCCAGCCGTCTAATACATATATTATCCAACCACTCTTTCCCGAGAATGCAGGGATGGGGTCGATCCGTTTCGCCCCAAGCCCTTCATGAGCTGCTTGCTTGCTTACTCCAAGAACGTTGGCATGGATGGTCTCATGATCCAGGAGGATTAGCCGAAGGGTAAAGGATGGCCCTAAGCCTCTAGCGCCCTTTCCTGCGAATCTCCTCTAGAGAAGCTTTGGATTTTCTGTGCTCTGTGAAATGAGAGAGGTGCCTCCCGTGAAAGTTTTGGAAAGTCTGCTTTTGTTGACTCCCCAATTCCCTAGTTACACTGTTTTAGACAAAGCAAATCGAACGTGACTGTCTCTTTGGAAGACGGGCCTTCCAAAGGAAAGGCGAATGAAAAAGATGCAGGTCCAAGAAAAATATATTTAAGAGACAAGCGAGAAGTGCAGTCCTAACAGCAGCGGATTTGCTTTAGCAGACCTTTGCTTCGCTCTGTTTTAAGGGGATTTGGCCCCGGTGGCTGCATTCCGTTGACTCACCTTGGCATTTAATCTCCAACACCGGAGAGATCAACTTGGTTCCCCCCCAAAAAAAGCGTTCAGCCTGGAGGCATTGGAAAAAGTATCTCAAGGCTGGCTAGTCCTACCATGAAACAGTGCTTAAACTACTAGCTCGATGGCCCCAATCTTTTTTTCACGTAGGTAGTTTTAAATAGGCTTGGAATCGATAGGATGCCAGTCTGAATCGAATCTGTCCCTCTGCAAGAATTCAAATCCCATTGACATCGATGAGAATGAACTCTGGAGGCCAGTTAGAAGTGGGACTGTACTCAGGGATTCGGATGGTGATACAGATCTTCCAAAAAATATTTGTACTGTATTGAGAACAAATCCTAAATGTGTTATCAGCCCTTCTTACATCCCTTTTCTTATCTGAAATTTGCCAAATTCAAAGACTTGAATTCAAAAGATCATACAGTTTGATCAGAGGTCACTTTAGCAGACAGAACATAAATGAGTCCGTTACTTTTACAAGAGAAGAGTAGCGTGTCAGAATGGAAGAAATCATGGCAAGTTTAAAAAGTGTTAATAGAGTAACTTCTGCTGCAAAAAGGGGGTTCCAGCTGATAATATCTGGCAAACAGGCACAGGCTGAAAATAAATTAAACGGTTTAAATAACTTAAACTGTTTCAAACCAGGTTTTAATTGCAAAATTTCACATAAAAGCTGATTATAAATCCTTCCTGTCCTATCTGCATTCTGCAGTCTGTCATTTTTTAGGCTGCTTTGTTATCTCTAGAACATTTTGTTAATTAATCATGCCAACATTTTTCTTTTCTTGTCTGGAACACACAGTTTATGGAAAGCAAAATCGCTCAACATAAAATGCTGTTTAAAAGGCTGTTTACTTCTCTCTCATTCCCCCCTCCCACTCCTCATTTCTATTTTAGCATGCTTGATGTAAGGCAGAAGTATGTATCCTAAGGCAGCACTATCACCCTATGGGTATGGTATATCCAGACTTTGAGCAAAAGGATCATTAAATAGGTGGGAACTGGTAAAATGAGTGTGCGTCTCTTTCTGTGTGGGTATAGACAATGTCCTTTAACCTCATATTCACTGACAAACTTAATGTTGATTGTATTAGCATCTGAAAAAAGTCCATATCCATTGCAACAGAATTTCTTTTGCCTATTAAAATTAGGATCAGACAAAAAAGGGGTTGTGTATTTATTGGAAGATCAACTTCCTTTCTTCCTTCTTCTCTTTCTCTTTCTCCTTTTATTGGAGACAACCATTATAACGAACACTGGTCATCCTATAACTCAGAACTAATCCTATTAGTTAATTCTATTGTTTATATCTGGAAACGGGAAGAAAGTATTGTGTGAAGTTATGGATCTGATGCAACACTGATGTCACTGTCCCCACGAAATGTAGAACAGTCAGCTTAGCCTGTCTGAACCAGCATTCTTCCTATTTAATCAATTCTCCTGGCTTTCTTTGCTCTCACTTATTGCTGAATGTTCCTAACTGCAAGGCATAAAAGGCGGAATGGTAGATACATTTGAAGGTGTATTTCCATAGACTTAGGGAAATCCCTTGGATATCCTTTGAATTAATTGGTTTATGGATTGGGATAGCTAAGAGGAGTAACAGACAAGCTCTTTTCCCCCCTCTCCCACACAAAGTATTAACATATTATTAGTAATGAGGTTCCATGCATAGGTTTCTTCCATCCATCTTCCTTATCCTCAGTTGGGACATTCCTGTTGCTTTACTGGGCTCTAGGTCAGATAATAAATCACAGATGCTGGTAAAATGAATTCAGGAATAAGAAATGCTTTTGATGATTCTTCTATTTTCCTTGAACTGAGCATTTAGACTGCAATTCGGTAGTCATTGGTAAAATACCAACAAACCTAACGCTTTTTAAAAAATATAGAGAGAGGGAATTGTCCTGGAATAAATATATGTACTTTATAATGATGATGTTGATAATGATTTTCAGTTCCAAACATTTCAATTAAGAAATATAATTGTCTCCTCTAATGGGAAATGAGAAGTGACTGTAATAAATATTAAATAAATCTCAAATAGCAAGTATACTTAATTCTAATTCGGAAGAACTATTGAATTGCTGTTTACTCAGAAGTAAGTCCTACTGTTTTCATTCTCTTTAGTCAGCATCTTTATGATTCTAATCCTCAATTTTACAGGCCAAAGGAACCCTTAAATAATTATTGGGAAAACAATTCTAAAATCAATATTTGCATAATTTTTAATATTTTTGTTGATTTTTTTCAAAAAAATGACTAACACAGTTATAAAAGAATTAAGGCATGAAAAAGGATAAAGGCTTTGTAGTAATGTTTTAGTTGCATTATCAACAAATGAAATCACATTTACCTACCTTCTTTTAAAAAGAAT